ATCAGAATACCATGCCAGAATGCTGTCAATATTTCACAAAGACAACTTCATTTTCTAGGAGCATGAGCTGGGGAAACCCAAATAACCTAGATGCCACTAGGTAACAAATGCTAGCTACCAAGAACCAGAAATATGCTGGTCTTGCATTCAGCACTATGTACAACTTTAGTAATCTGAATATCTTCAAGATTCCATACTCAAAAACTAGCAATGAAACAAAAGGCTAATCGATCTTGATGAAGAAACCTCGCTTACATGGGCCTGGTTTTCTCACCTGCTAGAAGGATGGTGACAGTCTCCAAGGTCCCTTCTACCTCTATTATTCTATGATCCCGTGAGTCAAAATTCAAGACTTAACATTTTAATTGCATCCAGGATGTATTAATTCTGTAACATTTACTGACTACCTACTTTACATAAGGCCTGAGGGAGGACACTATGGGGGTCACACAGACATAGAAAATAGTCCCCAATATTGAAAGAGCTCTAAGTGCAATAACCGTAGAATTCAGAAATATAAGAAATATCAGGGCAGTATCTTGGGAAGGAGTGGCAGGTCGCTACCACATCTCACCATGTCCAGCCACAAAGGTGGCAAGAAGAAGTGCCTGAAGAAGCCCAAGAAGCAGGCCAAGGAGATGGACGAGAAAGATAAGGAATTCACGAAGAAGCAAAGAGAGCAGCAGAAGAAACTTGAGGAGCTAAAAGGGAAGGCTTTGGGGAAGGGTCCCCTGCCCACAGGTAAAATAAAGAAATCTGGCAAAAAGTGAGCTGTTACTTGTGCCTGGGACAGTGGTGATCCTTCATTCCATTCCTGTTTCAACATCTGGATCCCCTGTCATAACATCTCTTACCACCTATAGGTAGAATGAAGTGTTGTCTTGGAGCCTGTTGTTGTAAATTTAAGAATAAACTTTTGTAAAAAAATTATAATAATATGCAGTGGCTCATCTCTTTAGTTCTTCTCACTCTGCCATTTCAACCTTAACTGTGTGGTCAGAGTAAACCCAGCCCAGAATCCTGTCAAAGTGTGTTCTTCAGTGTTTGTTACTTCCAGAATTCTGTATCAGAAATAAGTTGGAATTAAACCAACTCATTTGAAGTGGCAAAAAAGAGAAATTTCATATGATTACATGTTAAACGAGTGGTATGTACAATACAATTAGTCTCACAAATGCAGAAATTACTAAAAAGATTTCATAAAGGAGGGCTCAAGAAGGGACTTGAAAGAGAGGTTGAATTTGGGGAGAAGTGGGACAATTACTAAGCAGTGCTACAAAGTGTTTTTCAGCTCATCCAATTAAATGACTCCTCTGTACATCACAAGCAGCCATGAAGTTAAGTCCAATGAACTTTAATAGTGCCTTGATAAGATTTCTTCTATATACAGCACAGTGAGGCATAAGCACTTATCATAGCAGCAGACTGCTTCTACTTCAGTGGTGAAGAATCACACAGTCATTCTTACCACAAGAGAAGTCTGGGGACCTTGAACACACTAGCAATCTAGCCACAAAGTTACAAGAGGCATCTAAGAAGCCAATTCCAGAAGACAGTGCACTTGGTCCTTTCTCCAAGCTTTTGCAGGAAGTGGAGTTGGACAGAAATCCACAATCACCTTTCAGTTGCTGGACAGCTCACAGGTTTCCAGTGTCATTCTGTTCTAGTGTCCTGACATTTCTGGCCAAGCTGGTAGCTATGTGTTCATAATATGAGCTGAACAGTGTTTGGGCTAAAAGGACTGAGAAGGGTTCACATGCTCAAAGTTGAAACTGGCAGGCGCACTCACATTGCCTAGATATCTCATCCTAAGAATAAATTAGGAAATCTTTTTTTAAAAACACTGTACAATTTTCACTGGTTTTAAATTCAAATACACTTACCATAGAAATAATTATACTTAAGTACATAAACATATTTAAATATAGCTACCTACCTATAATTTTCTAGCCTCTCCTTTTCTATGTGTGTCTATTTGACTCTTCCAGACAGAAACAGGAGTTATACAGAATTTCAATAGCGCTACAAGAAGCTTAATGACAATCTAGTCCAATTGCCCATCCTGGGCAAAAATCCATTCTGTGACAGCAGCCCTCAGAGATGGCCACCCAGCTTCTTTAGAAACACTTCTAACAATACAGAGCTAACTAACTCCTGGAGGAGACACATGTTTTCATTCTGTGTATTCAACCCACTGTCTGTCCACTGAAAATTACAGGTCCCTCCTTTGACAAAACATGTAAAGACAAACGCCAAAAATAAAAAGATTTCCACTGACACTACCAGCACTGCATGTTTTTCATCAAGGGGCACCCACATCCCTGACCAGATTTCTCAAGCCATCTGGCCAACCCAGGACTGTGCCATGGGCAGTCATAAATCAACTCACACTTGTTCTTAAGCACCTGCTGCAAGCAGGACCTTGTTACTAAAATGCAGATCCAGATGTGCCTCAGAAAACAGACTCTCTTCCCCAAGGCAAAAATGCAGCAGCCAGAGGAAGTGGAGTCTCAGCTCCTGGATAGTCTCAGGATGAAAATAAACAGCCTTTGTCACCCTTACCTGCCTGAAGACAGAGAACTAGATCAGCTAACTTTCTGAGGTTTCCCTGAGTTCTAATACTAATGAAGGAGCCCATATTCTGTCCCCAGACTTTATCTGCCACTGTGTGGTTGGTAGTAAATTACAGACTCCAAAGAAGGCACAAGGCAGTCACCACCTAGAGCATCTGTGTGTCTGTATGTCACACACAAACACACATTTCACAAACACAGTGAAAAGGATTCCTCACCAGGGTCCTCTCCTCTTTGGTCAGAGTTATACTTCCCCATTCCACTCCTCGGTTAATACATTTACTTCCTTCTCCTCCCCCTTCTCCCTCCCTCAGCTCTAACCTCAAAAATATTTATCACACCCTGGCTAATGTGGCTAAGTGGATTGAGTGCCAGCCTGCAAACCAAAGGGTCACCAGTTCAATTCCCAGTCAGGGCACATGACTGGGATGCAGGTCAGGTCCTCAGTAGGGGGCATGCAAGAGGCAATTATGCATTGATGTTGCTCTTCTTCTCTTTCTCCCTCTCTTCCTCACTCTCTAAAAATAAATTTTTAAAAATAAACTTAAAAATATTTATTGCACAGACAGCTAGAACTCTGGGCAATTTACAAACAACCTTATCCTTCATATCTGAGGGCAAAGCACGAGAAATAACTTGGGGGAAAATCATCTTGGTAGAAAATTCAACCTGCCTCTGTCAAACTGTAACTTGGCTAATTATAAGCTTCATCCCACAGGCAGTTTTTTTTTCCAGAAGCCTCCAAGGTCTTAGTGGTATAGATCCAAATCAGATTCTGTGTGGTTCCCCAAAACAAAAAGGGCCAAATACCAATAGCTCCAAATTTCAAGTTCCCTTGGCCAGTCAAACCAGAGCTTTCTTGAGCCCAGAATTACCAGCTCTCTTAGGGTCTGGAAACAAATCTTGCTTCTTTTTTTAATTATTTCAATCACCAAAAAATTAAGTCCAAGGCAAAAAGGATGGAGGTGGGGGCAAAAAGAGCTAGTGATTCAGCAGGGGATGAAGTAAAAGACAGAGAGAATGATAGACAGCACAGTTCAGTTCTGCACTTCCAAAAAGAAGCAAGGCAGGAATAAAGCAAAGAAAACTTGGAGAGATAGGTCAAAAGAGAAGGAAATTTTGTGACATTATGTATATGCTTGCCTGACTGCACATGCTCACTTGTGTACACACACCCTTAGCCATGAAACTCGGACTGGAAAGCAGCTAAGAAACCATGATCAAACTGCCAGACTTTGCCAAATACCTCACAAAGTCGACAGCAGCAAAAATGCCTTTGACAAAGAGTTTTTCTGACCTTACTTTCTTAGTCCCATTATAAACTGGGTCCCCTTCCTCCCCTTGCTATTACTCAAGCCAGCTGCAACCATCAAGTCTAGCAAAACAACTGAAAAAAATTCTCTCTTGATGCACCAGGAAAGCCCAAAGCCCTTACAGAATGAGTCCCAAGAGTCCAGAGCTCATTTTAACTACCCACATAGGCTGGCCAAGGAGCTTCCTGCTCCCTGCCATGGCCACACCACAGCATAAGAACTCCACTTCCAGGTCACCCATGTGCATGAACTACAGCAGGCTCAAGTCAGGTGTCACTTGCAATCTATACACACTTCTTGGCTCTTCAAGGCCCTTCTCATAATAACCCCAAACCAATTAACATTGCTCCCATCCCCAGAGTGTATAGCATTCTCAGTACATTCAGCAATGCTGTAACAGTACCCTAGAATCCAACTAGCCACCTCCCTAGCTATGTGGCCTACACAGACTTTGAACACTGGCTCTACTACTGGCTATTATATCACAGAAAAATGGTAATCACGCACACACAAAATAGAGAGTTGTTTATGTTGAGTGATTCTGAGTAAAAGAAGGAGCAGCTCACACTTAATAAGCACATACGTGCCACACGCGCAGCTAGTTTCCAGCATAGCTGAGGCTGGAACCAATCTGCAGATTCCCCATTCAGTTGGCTCTTAAATTCAACAGCTAGCTTTTCAGTTCAACAGAGACCTGAGCCCTAAATCCACAGAACCCAGAGTAACAGAATAGGTGAGTATGGTAGAGTGGAGTTATGACCACAAGGGGTGCCCCTGGGCTTAAGAGGGGTGGGGAATCGGCAGTCTGTAAGTAAGTACCTAAGGAGACCACTGAAAGGGGGAGATGAGCAATAAATACAAATTCCTTTATTTCCCAAGTGTGCCAGGAGTAGCCCCATATCAGCGCCATAATATTGGTATCAAAGGTCTTTTTAGGCAACACATACTCTGCTATGAGTATAAAGTAATGAAACCAGTTGGCATGCTCTATAGACACTGTTCAAGAAGACAGTGACAACCATCCAAGCACCACCCATAAACTCCCCAGAAAAAAGGTTCTTCCCTTATATTCAAAATAGTCATTGTCAGGCAACTCTACCCAATGGGTACTCACTCGAAGGCGAAGAAGAGTGTACATGTCCCCAGAATGAGGAAGAGGGTCAAGTAGAAGATGCCCTTTTGCCGGGCCATCATGACGCGGCCATCGCAGCAGAAAGTGTTCCTGCCTGGGAGTTTCTCCCATTTCCGTGTCACTTTCTTTCTCACCACCATCACAGACATGATTGGAATTCCTGCTCCAAATGCACTTTGTGATTACAAGATAGAAGAGACGAAAGTTGAGCCCAGCTTTAAAATCACGTTGCCTGCTATTGCTGCTGCTGGGTCAAACATCATCAAAAGTCCAATTTGTAACCCTAAGAAAAAGGAGAAAGAATGAGGCAGGAATATTAAAATTAAGTTCAACCCTCTTTTCCCAGAGGCAGATGATAAGCCTAGAAGGTGCAGGGTAGGGAAATGGGAAAAGCTTATTTCCAATCTATGTTTAGCCTGTGAAAGGAGAAAATATTAAAGGTTCTCAAAAAAAGGAGGAGGTGGAAGTTAGTATATATTCTTAATAAATAAAGCCCCATGCTTCCAATATAATACTGATGATTTGTTCATCATAGAACCTTGGAGCTAGAAGGGTTTTAACAGGTAATAACCCAATTAATTGGTTAGAAATTAGCAAAGTGAAGACCAGTGAGAGAAAATAACTCATCCAGGGTCACACAACCACAAAGCTAAGCAAAGAAAACATGTCTGCAGACTTTCAGTCCAAGGCACTTTCCATAATACCACATTGTTCTATAATCATCATTAAGAGGACTAAAAATAATAGTATAGTTTTTGTCCTTAAAGAGCCATTCCCTCCCCTCCTCCATTTCTTCACCTTCTTTCTTCAATTAGCCACTCAAATATGAACCACGCCAGGGAACAAGTCACCCTCTAGGAAGATTAGGAGGTTTTGGACACTCTGGACACATTTCCAGGTTATATTTATTCAAAACAGATTTCCCCTGATCAAACCCTTGGTAACTTCCTGGGTCTGGGAAATGAAACAATCTTGTTGGTCTAGTCTAGCCTAACATTTGTGTGAATCTTGATGAAACCACATCACAGACCTGCAGGTGGAAGGCTAACTTAAGCAGGAGAGGTTCTGGAAGGGTTGGAGGTGGGGAGGTGGCAGCAGTTAAAAACTGTCATAAAGGTGTTTTCTGGGACATTTCATAAGTACCATCTCTACCTGGCATCCTGAATCCTCAGGCCAAGCGTTTCTCAACCACTGCCACCCTTCTCATACTCTCAAGTGTGGTGCTGTGGCCTCTGTTTACTGACACAACAAACCCCACGCTGGCAGGACTGAGGCGGAAGTCTGCAGCCCAACTGACTGATGAGAAACAAGCAACTTGAAATCATTCCCCATCTGGAAAGGGCAAGGGTCCAAATAGAGACTAGGCAATGAGTACAGCAATCAGAAAGTAGAAGGCTTCAGAAAGGGGAGGGGGCTCCAAGGTGCAAAGAACACTTCCTTTGTGTAAAACTAACCTGGAAAACAATCTCGTGATAACCTGGCCCAGCGGGAGAAGAGACCAGGAAGGGGATCCCGGCCTGGGAGAACAAAGATCAAAATCCATCCAGAACCAGCGACCGGCCCACCCACTGGGGGCCAAGGCCTGAGTCCAGGGCAGGCAGCGGGTGCGGCCTCAGGAGGCCTGCCCCGTCTCTGCCACGCAGCGGACCACCGCCCCAGGAGCTTGGGACGCGCGCCATCTCACACGCTCGTACACACTCACACACACGCCCCGCCACGTGTAGTCACCCTGGGTGAGGGCTCCACTGCTGGTGACCTGAGCGGGACAGTGCCAATGTCCACGCGTCACGATGCAGCGGAGGCGTTGGCAGCCCACCAGACAGCAGAGCCTAGGAGACCCCAACCCCCACCCCTTGTTACCTGAACCTGGGAGCCCAAACTCGGCCAGGGACTGACGGCAGAAAGTGGACACTCCCAGGGGACTGCACCGGCCGGCCGAGGTGGCAGCGACTTCTCCTCCCCAGCCAAGAGGCTGCCTCCTCCAGACAAGGAGCCCCTATGATCGGGCCCTAAAACAGCTGTGGCAACCGCCCACTGCTGGCGGAATGGAATGCTCCTCACGTCACCAAGTCGTTCCAGTAGTTGCTCGCCCTCCATTGGCTGATCAACCTCAATGTCTCTGCACTACCACTACCACCCCGAACCACCATTGGCTACTCCAAACGCCACTCAACGGTGCCTCCGCCCCACTCCCCCACCCATCTCCCGGCTACATGCCCACCTGCCAAGCATTGCTATCCTTCTTTTGGGGTCTAATCGCCAGTACATAAAGTATCACCTTCTATTAATACAGTTACACAGAGATGGAGGTAAAGAATAGTTCAAATAAAACAGGGGAGGACTGGGGACCAGCCTCCCCCCCACACACACAACGAGACGTTGAAGCCGCACTGGCTCCCAGATCCGGGTGCTCAACCCAAACTGGGTCCGCCCTGGGCCTCTCCTGCCCTACTTGTATGAAAGCAAAGGCGACTCGGAATTTTACTCCTTCGGAACAAAACAAACAAATATAAAAAGGAACTTGAAGGCGATAACTGTCCCCAAGAACATAGAATCATTTTTGCAGTACCGAGAACTAATATTGACAGTAAGGAAGTTGGAGAAAATCTACTCACAGGGCATAAATTCATCCAGGTAGGTAACTAAGTAAAGATTTCCAAAAGAGTTGGAAATTATTACTGTTTGCCAGAATCCAAGGCAGAATCACCACCCACCAAACACACTGATTCTTTTCTTCTGCCCCCCTCCTCTGTAGTTACTGCCACAATGAGCTACTGCTACTGATCCCAGGGAGTCACATGCTTTACAAGTTCAAGATTGGAGTAGGGAAAATAGTTCAGAATCATGGCCTTGACCTTATACAACTGGACTTTAAGAAGCACTGGGTCTCTTTCCCCTTGTATGGCTCTGGACTTCCAAATATAAGGGGAAATATGAAAAAGGTCTGAAGGTAGCCTCTTTTTCCCTGTCACACTGTTGGGGAGACTGTCTAGGTTTCCAGCTGTTTTCCTGAGCTTGAATAAGGTTTCTCTAGAGTGAAGATTTTTGCAAAGAATACAGAAGAGACTGCCAAAGGTCTTCCCAAGGCAGGTTTTTATGTTAGTTGAAGAACCATGTACATGGTCAAGAACTATTTCTCCTTTACACTATTAAGGTTCCACATGATATGAAGCAAAAGCCTGCTTAATGATAATTACATTTAGCACTTTCGTGGCACCCTTCCATGAAAATTTTAAAAGCATTAAAAAAATCACTAGGTCCTGGCTGGTGTGGCTCAGTTGGTTGGATCATCATCTCATAACTGAAACACTGAGGGTTCAGTCACTGGTCTGGGCTCATACAGGAGGCACTGATTGATGCTTCTCTCTCATATTGATGTTTCTCTCTCTCACCCTTCCTATCTCTCTAAAAGCAATAAAAATGTCCTCGAGTGAGGATTTAGAAAAAATCATTAGGTAATTTTATTATGACAGAAATATGGTATAATTAATTTCTAGGGGAAAGTATGTTTTTATAAAGCTTCTATTGCTCCTTAGCACTTGTGCTTGATAATAATCACTGGTTTATTTATGATAAACTATATGATCAATATCATTGTATCCAATTCTCCCCCCTTTGAATATTAGAGGGTGCTAATATTATATGCACTTGGTATGGAAGGAAGAAGAACTTCTTTGCCTTTTCGATCCCCTGGATTCCTAAGCCTGTGTACTCCAAACTCCCAGTCAAAAATAAACCTCTGTAGCACCCAAACATATTTTGTCCATAGATCAGATGCAGGTAAAGCCTGGGGAGTTCTGGAATTGATGTGTCATGGCAACACATTCCTGAGCTCTGCCCCTCCCTGTTCTGGTGCACATTCCCTCTGGGATTAACTGGCTGTGTAGGTCAGGCTTGTTTTAACACAATCTGTCATTATTTGTTTTCACCACTAAAAGAAAAATAAGGTAAATATATATCAACAAGAATCCCATAGGACTTCCTTCTATGTACTTACATCATTTTATAGAATCCTGAAAGTCTTAATACACATGCAACTAAATTGTGACTATAAACTGAGATTGTTTCTTTTCTGTTCTTTTATCTTTTCAATAAACTCCAGACTTTCTGCACCAAAATCAGCATTTGCTCCTTTCAAGGGGGGTACAGTCATATGGTGAACACTAGAAACACCACTGTAATAAAGGTACAGACTTCCATTGTGTGATGGCATAGATTCTAGTGTGCTTGTTTAAAATGTCTATCTCCTGGTGAAAGACAAATACCATATGATCTCACCTATAAAAGGAACCTAATGAACAAAACAAACAAGCGAGTGAAATAGAACCAGAGGCATGGAAACAAGGAACAGACTGACACTGACCAGAGGGGAAGGGGGAGGGGAATAAGAGGAGAAAGAAAAGGAAGGGTCTAGTCAAGGAACAGGTATAAATGACCCTTGGACATGGAAAACAGGGTAGGGATTGACTGTGGGAGCAGGGGCAGGGGAGAGCAAGGGGGGAAAATTGGGAGAACTGTAACAGAACAACAATATAGCCCTGACTGGCGTGGCTTAGTGAATCAAGTGCCCGACTGAGAACCAAAGGGTTGCTGGTTCGATTCCCAGTCAGGGCACATGCCTGGGTTGTGGGGGGCGGGTCCCTGGTGGGGGACTTGTAAGAGACAACCATACATTGATGTTTCTCTCCTCTTTCTCCGTCCGTTCCCCTCTCTCTAAAAATAAATAAATAAAATCTTAAAATAGAACAATAATATTAATTAATTGATTGATTGATTGAAATACCTGTCTCCAGCTTCTCCCAAGAAACACCAATTGATCAATGATGCTGGTGCTACAGGAGTGCTGGGAGGCCCTAGGGCCCTAGAATAGTAGGGTGAGGGCCTTCCATGGAGTATTTGGCAGTGGCATCTGGGGCTGAAGTCACAGCTGGCTGGGGTGGCAGCCCAGGACCAAGGCTAATGAGCTCAGGAGGCAAGGCCAAGGCCAAAAAGTATATCCCCATCACCAAACTGGGCCACCTGGTCAAGAACATGAAGATCAAGTCCCTGGAGGACATCTATCTCTTCTCTATGACCATCAAGGAATCTCAGATCATCGTCTTTTTTCTAAGGGCATCCCTCAAGGACGAGGTTTTGAAGATTTATGCTGGTGTAAAAACAGACTCATACTGGCCAGAGGACCTGGTTCAAGGCATTTGTCATAATGGGGGACTACAATAGACCTATAAGTCTGGGTGTTAAGTGCTCCAAGGTACTAGCCACTGCCAACCATAGGGCCATTATCCTGACCAAGCTCTCTATTGTCTCTGTGTGGCAATGCTACTGAGGGAACAAGATGGATAAGCCTCACACTATGTTTTGCTTTTCCTTGCAAGGTGACTGGCCACTGTGGCTCTGTGCTTGTGCACCTAGTCCTCACCCTAAGGGGGACTGGCATCATCTCAGCCTCTGTGCTCGAGAAGCTGCTGCTGATGGCCAGTGTCAATAATTGCTACACCTCAGACAGGGGCTGCACTGTCACCCTGGCTGACTTCACTAAGGCCACCTTCAATGCTGTCTCCAAGATCTAGAGCTGCCTTGCCCTTGACCTCTGGAAAGAGGTCATGTTCACAAAGTCTCCATATCAAGAATTCACTGACCATCTTGTAAAGACCTACTCCAGAGTTTCTGGGCAGAGGACCCAGGCTCCAGCTGTGGCCACCACATAATTGTATACAAGAAAAATAAAGTGAATTAAGCCTGTTAAAAAATGCTTTTCTCCATATTGATGGTTCCTGTGTGAGTGTGTGTTTGTTGATGTATAGATGCAGAGTGCTGTTTGAATGGTCTCAGATCCTGAGTGCTGCCACTGGATTGCAGCTTGCCAGCTAGTGTTGCTCCAGATGTCTCTTCTGCAAACACCCAAAGACCCATTCTATACTGCATATAAGACTCACAAAATCAGCCCCCATTCTGCATTCAAGCTCATGACAGCCCTTTTTTCTCAACATTTACTCTAACTTCAACCCTCCCATGTTCTCTTTCCCTTCTCCCCTGACACACATATCCCATCCCACCTCAACCTTCTTGACCTTCACTCCTCTCCCTACTTTCTGGCTATAAATAAATATATATCTGTAGAATGAATTGAAGAGCAAGAGAAAGTGGGTCAGTGGATTGAGTGCTGGCCTGCAAACCAAAGGGTTGCTGGGTTGATTCCCAGTCAGAGCACATGCCTGGGTTGCCAGCCAGGTCCTTATTTGCAGGCGCGTGAGAGGCAACCTTACAATGATGTTTCTTTTCCTCCCTTCCCCTCTCTCCAAAAATAAAATCTTTTTTTTTTTAAAAAAGAACCACAGGACACCATGCCAACACAAGACCAACTAGTATTCTTAAGCAACATCTGTTTCCCTGAGGCTCAGGCTGCAATCACTGACTTAAACGAAGCGGGATAGCATGCATAGCAGAAAATGCAAAAGCTTTATGGCCAGTCAGACCTAGGTTCAAATCCTAGCTCTGCTGCTTAGCAGCTTGTGTAAATTTCAGTAAGTAAATGATCCTTTCTGAGCCTATTTCCTCATCTGTAAAATAGAACTAATACCTACTTCTTATAGTTATAAAGAAGATTAGAGACAGTGCGTGCTAAATGTCAGGCATAGTTTAAAAACACAACCAATGCAGTACATTAGGATTCTGTCTATATGTAACTGCTCTCTTACACCTCCCTCCTTTATCTACACTGCTGACTTCGAGTAGAGAGGTAAAATGGAGACCCATTCTTCACATTGTTGAACCTGTGTCAGCCTTGTGCTGCCATGTTTTCATAACCTGTAAATTCGTCACTAACGCTAATCCTAATCTGATTAAACTCTTGATTTTCCAATCTCGGAGGCACCCTATTCCTGTTTGAACAATAATCTTGTTCTAGTTTAATGGCTCTTCTCTACCACCATCATCTCAAGTGAATCTTCAACCATTGCCACCATGCTATCTGTGTCAACAGGTGAGAGATGGATGAGATCTCTTTCATTACACATGTCTTGTGTTCACAGCACCATGCTGGAACTGTTTGCTCC